AGGTGGGGGTCAGTCTCTTCTGCCATATCTCAAGTGAAAGGACCAGAGGAAATGGCCTTAAGTTGCACCAGGTAGGTGCAGATTAGACATTAGAAAAAAACATTTCACTTAAAGAGTGGCTAAGCATTGGAATAAGTTGCCCAGGGAGTTGCTCTGGAGTGTTCAAGAGGCATATGGATGTGGCACTTGGGGATATGGTTGAGGTGATTATGGTGGTGCTGGGTTGATAGTTGGACTAGGTGATCCTTGAGGTCTCTTCCAACCTTCATGATTCTGTGATTCTGTGATCTCAGCCAGACCCAGCACACTGTTACTACTATTGTACAATACATGGTAAAGTTTAAAATTATCCATCACTCATGTGAGCCATGGCCCCTACCATGAGATCTGCACCAATGCAAGACTGAAATCTGGCCATATATAGTGTCAGTGCTATCTAGCATCAGACTTTGGTTTGTCTTAGGGGCATTAAGTTTTATTATGCTACAAACAACAACAATAGAATGTGTAAACTAACATGGTAATTACAGGAAAAATTTTAGGTATTGACTCAGTCATATGACATTACTTGGGGCCATTGATCAAATTGTGTCAATTCCAGGATCAACAAGTGTCAGTGTTTTGGGATGTAAAGATCTTACTAATAGTGTGCTGTCATGGTCTTTGTATCACCATGGCTTCTTTGAGTGTTTAATTAAATATTACCTTTTAATTGAAAAAAGATCTTTGTCTTTATACATCTCAAAACTGGCAAAAGATACAGTGCTAAGTGATTACATAGGGAGGCCAAAATTGGAAACAATATATTAGCTTAAGAATGAATATTTTGCATTGTGAAAATAAAGTAGAAAGCCTTATAAGGGAGATATTTCAGAACTCTATGCAAACCAGCATATGTAATATATACTGTATTCCCATATGGAGTTAGTAGATGATTCAACAATTGCTACTGATTAAAAAGGGCTTGGAACTTTAAGGTCATGCTGTTAGAATTTTAAGCTGATTTTTTTTCTAGTCAGATCAGTAGTGATTGCACTGGTCTGACAAAATGTGTTGTAGATTTGTTTTAGGAATTACTCAGGAATTCCTATTCTATTTGCCTGGTAGCAGCTAAGTGTGTCCCACAGGAACAACTCTGATGGTAACATCTAAGTTGGAAAAATGGCTTTACTTACAAAATATCCCCTAGATTTGACACCATAGAAAAACAGAGAAAATATCAAATCCTAGTATTACTAGTACTAATAAAGGCATTGTTATGCATCAATATAGTACCAAAGTCATATACTGCATTGATTTCCTTGCAGGGAGATTTGTATCACCTATGTATGCTTGTAAGTTTAAACATAAACTGTTTTTAAATGCACAGGAGAAAATTTTTTCATTCAAAATCCTACACTTAGTACCGTAATGCATTGGATCAATTTTGTAGTCAAAGAACGATATTATACTGGCTTCAGTATACTCTCCAACAACACCTCTGTGGGTTAACTCTTTAAGTTTTTGTAATTTTCGGTTTGGAAATAGATCTTCCTAACTCAGTTTCTAAGAGCTGTGTGACTTGACACTGAGCATTTCTGTATTGGAGGATGAACTGACATATAATCACTAATAATAAGTAAAGAATTTAGCATATGAATACATTAGTATATGTCAGATAAGAAAATATAAACAGAAAAGGCATCTTAAAATTTTTAAGGCACTTATCCAGTGAAAAAATGTATATAAAAACATTATTACAGCCTAATAACATGAAGGAAGGAGGTTCAAAAATAGCTAGTCTGTCACAGTCCAATTTGAAAATCCATAAAGTAGTCTTATTTTTCACATATGGTTTGTGTTTTACATATGCTTTAGTGTATTAGAAGTGCATGAGGGAAAAAGGAATTGAAGTGCAAGTCCTCCATATGTATGATCTACTGTGATTATATATAAAGTGTGTGCTTGCATATCAAAATCTATCAGTTGTAATTTTCTCTCTGATTTTTGTTTAAACTTCCTTTTTCTTCTTTCTTTTTTTTCTTGTTTTAGTTTTTTTTGTAGGTTTTTTTTTGTTTGGGTTTTGTTGTTGGGTTTTGGTTTCTCTGTTGGGGGTTCATTTGTTTTGGTTTTTTGCTTGTTTGTTTGTTTGTTTTTCTTTTCTTTAAAATTGCTGTAACAGATTCTTCAGTGTCTTTCTGGTACCTTCTTTTCTGGAACTGTGGACTAAAAGGCAGTCACAGTGGAGCTGCAGTTTCTGGATTCCACTGCTCCTATCAGCTTGTTCATTCATCATGAACCTCCTTTGGACTTTGGATACACCAATAATATTTGTCTAATAATATTGAATGACTATTGCCTGGCAATGTTTGTATGTTGTCTAAAGCATTCAAGTGAATGTTTAACTTCATTTATTATCATGCTTTTTGTCTGTGCTGAGCTATTTATCATTATTTGTAGTGGCTTTGCAGTTTATTTCCTTGATAGTTTGATTTTTTAATTTACATTTCCTCTTTTCATCAGGATACAAATGTGCATCTTCTAGACGTCACTTATGTCTAAAAGAGATCTTTTAAAACTTGGGAAGCTGATTCAATTTGATTGAAAAAGTGGAGTTGAATTTATTTTTCCATTGTCAAATACGTCTCCTACATGTTGCAGGAGCCACTTCACTGTTGGACCATTCCACATGCTACAAAAACATGTGATTTAACTGTATTTTTTTCATAGCACGTGCTTTTCTATTTGGGGCTCCCTCTTCTCCTAGTTTATTTCCTTCTATGAGCTTGATCCACAGTGCCCTAGCTCCTTGCTTCATTCCTCTCAACTCTGCACATTTATGTACAAAACAGTTTATTGGAAATACTGTAGGTGGAGGGACCCACACTTCGATCAGAAAATCAGAAAAATTTCATTGTACCTCCTCTCCCCATATTTGTGGTAGGGTATTTTTATGAATTAAATTTTATTAAATACAGAAAACTGTGAATTTGGGAAGTGGTAGGCAAACATAAACAAATCTTGGGATCAGATGTGCTTTCTTTGAAATATATCAGCAAATGCTCTTTAATGACTGTGTTTTGAATACGCTAGAGGCTGTAGGGTACTTTACCCAAAATGCCAATAAACAGGCTTCATAATTCTGCAGTCAGTTTCTATGAGATGAAGGCATTCTACAGAAAAAGAATTTTCAGGAGTTAATCAGCTACTGGTGAGATATAGCTTAATAAGATGGGCCCCACATAGGACGATCAAAAGAAAACCTTATTCTCTCATTTTAAACTCAGCCAAGGTGTCTGTGTTGACAGTCACAGTTCTACTTGAGTCATGGAAGTTGAATATGCTAGGAGGATCTTCTGACAATGAGTTACTGCTCTTGTTTCTCAGTCAACAATTTTTAAATAAAATTCTCTTCCTCAGCTTTTGACAAAATGCTTTTTTTGTGATTGCATAAATATTAAAGGGGGCCTCTGGTGGTCTAGTGGTTAGGGTGCAGGACTCTCACCGCTGCGACCCGGGTTCGATTCCCAGCCCCCCC